CCCCCCCCCCCCGATGTCGAGATGGACCCCGATATGTCGGAGCTGGCTTCTGAGTTACTATGGCGGTGGGCCTGGGGTGACCTACCTGCTGTAGACGTCCAGAGGTTGTCTAAGGCTGCGGTACGGGACGGGGCCACTCACCCAGAGCTCTCGGAGATTGCTAAGCTTGGAGGCTGGGGGAACACACCATCCTCAGGAAACATCCACAGGGATTTGACTCGCCGCTTCACGCGACACAACAACATGCCCCACCCCGATATCATCAAGGTGCCTGCGTGGGACCCTCTCGAGTACAAAGTGGTATATGCTGACTGCGCTATATTCAATCCGCACGACTGGGTTGCGACGTTTTGCAACGAGTACGAAGAAGAATTCCACGAGCTGTTTGGGATCCAAGAGCTCCACGACTTCTGGGACCACGTCTCCTCGAGGCTGCAGGGGCCTTCACAATTATAGCTACCCACTACGTCGTATGATATTTAAAATTGGGGCCCTTGTAAGGTCTAATGGAGGCCCCATGTGGTATTCTAGTTAAGACTTCAATATATAACGAACACTCCTCGGCCATCGAGGCCCGACCCCAAGATGGTCGACCACCCGATCTTCACAACTGCAGGCTTTCGGGAGAACGCAGTGCCTCTGAGAGTTCATGGGGACGGTGCGCAATTTCAAGATAAAGACAGCCTTACAACGGTGTCGATGACGGGGGCGTTGGGCATGTCCACTACACGTTCATTAACGTTCTACTTGGCGTCGTGGCCTCTAGCTATCACGGCCAAACGCAAGCACAATGATGTAGACACATGGGAGGTGATATGGAAGCAACTTGCGTGGTCGTTTAACGCCCTCGCGTCTGGGCGCCACCCAACTCACGATTCCGCGCCATTTGGCAGTCCGCAGGCCCCGCCGAACATGCGCTTACATGAGCGCGTATACATCGCTCTTCCTCTTGCATACCCCCCCTATCCATCTCCACCGATAGACGCGCGTGCAATAGTGTTCGCGTGCGGGCATCGCCATGCGTTTACACAGGCACAGTCATATTCAAGCGGGTCGTTTCCACGCTCGCGTCCTCAAAGAGGATGGTCAGATTGGCAAGGCAAAAAGTTTAATTCGACATCGCCCCGGGGCAAGTTAGCAAACAAAAAGATTGGGAACGACAGGTTCCCCGTGCGCGGCTTCATCTACGCAATGTTAGGAGATTTGGATTATCTGGTTCTGCTTGCGCTTCCGTCCGCCTGCAAACGCACAGGCGGGTCGTCCACGGGGGGGGGTGGGGGGCGTTCAATAAAGCTGGCGATTGTTGACCATGGGCTCTGCGCGCAAGGGCCCAGGCGCGCTTGGGCGACGGATTTCGTGAAGGATCTGTTTCTGTGATTCGTCGTTGCTCTGTCGAAGCTGCCATGCAACGATTAGTCGCGACGTGCGGGCGCATGTTGCCTGGGCGCGGGTAGTTATGCGCACGCAGCATATGGCCCAGACATGCACACATGCGCACACAACGCATACAACGCATGTATATGTACATATACATATATACATGTACATACATATACATACATATACACACACATACATATATACATACATATATACATATATATACATACACGTTTATATACATATACATATACACATATATTAGCGCGAAAGCGCGTGTAAAGGTTCGCAGTAAACCACTCAACTTCGTATGCATGGCAGCTTCGCTCATGAGGACTTATGGCTCCCGTCGCACGCGGCGGAGAAGTTCTGTTGGCTGTGCGATTCCAATCGTTCAGATCGTAACTGCTGGTGCGATTTCGTGAAGGTCCACTGGGCCCAACCCCCTTCCATAGTTTTCCTCCCCGCCTCCTCCCCGATCAGCTAGTTCTCCTCCTGCTGCTCCTCCTTCTCCTCCTCCTCCTCCCCCTCCCCCTCCTCCTCCTCCCTCGTCGCCCCCTCGCCTCTTCGGCCCCTCTCCCTCCTCCCCGACGGCGCGCTCGTGCGCCCCTGGAGGACAGAAAACCGAACCATTGGATGCGGCGGCCATATTCTAAGCACCACCTTCAACTACATCCCCCTTCGGAGCACCCGATTTTCGGGATATACGGCGTGACGGTACTCACGCTGGCGCTGGACCCTATGCACATCATCGATCACCACGGCGTCGCATCGCACATCATCGCGAACTCGTTGTTCACTTTGGTTTATGGATGGCCCGATAGGCCGAAGACACGGTGCTACCTCGAACGCATGCAACATATTCATATACATTTCTATATACATACACATGTGAGTACGCATGTGCCCAACATGTACACATTTACCCATATTCGTGTGTATATGGTATGCTCACATCACATAAACACACAATATACAGGTGCGAAATGGTATGGAAAAAATACAGAGGCACTACTCAGAGATGGGATCGCAGAACCGCCTCACAAATTTCGGTTTGAAGTTTTTCTGCGACCCAGAGAAGCCCCACAAGGACTACCCCAAGCTGCACCACCTGAAGGCCGCGGAAACTCGGGCTCTCGTGCACGTGCTGCCGCCATTCCGACGGCCGCAGTATAGGGGGCACACAGGCGGAGGGAACTGAGGGGGATGGGGCGTGGGCTGTTGAACGGGAGGGGAGATGGTATGGAGGAGGAGGCAAGGGGGACCATTGAGGACTGACGGCGACGGGGTGGGTACACGGCGGTTCGCCCCACGCGCTCTGAGAGCCACGAGGGGGAAGGTGGATTCCGATCATGTATAAGGTGTGTGAGGAAATGGATCGTGCCAGCGACGCCAGTAAGATGAGGAATTTGTGTCTGAAACAGCTCGTGACGTTTCAGGATACCGTCGATCGGTGCGGTCGGTTTCCCACGGACGCCCAGGCGCCAACGATGGCCCAATCATCCGAGAAGTTGCTGGTGTTGTACGGTGGCTTAGCCCGAAAGGCCGCCGAGTCTGGTAAATTGTTGTGGTCAATTGTGAACAAGTTTCACTTTTTCCACAATCTGAGTTGCCAGGGCCAGTTCTATTCGTTGAAATGCGTATCAACGTACCAGCCAGAAGATTACATGCGCCACGTCACATCTTCTGCAGCGGGTTGTGCAGTCGGCACGCCGATTTTCAAGGTCAATTTAAAATTGGCCGAACGTGTTAGGGTTGGCCGCTACATTGAGGTCACTCGGGGGTTCTTGCCATCCGACTGACTTGGGATGGCATGGTTTGCGCTCTGCGATGGGGGGGAAAATGGTGCCCATATCCAGTGAAACTGTGCCAGCGCAACTAACGCCCGATCGCCAGCGCAGCACGCCGTGCCAGCGCAGCATATTGAATTTTGCCCATGCAACGAGCGTCTCACCTCCAGCGTAGGCCGCCGTGCCAGCGCAGCGTGCTGGACTGTGCCAGCGCCTCTGTTGTCCAAGTGCCAGCCCAGCTCGCCGTGCCAGTGCAGCATATTCAACTGTGCCAGTGCAGCGAGCTTCTGAGTGTCAAGGTAGTACAGCGTGCCAGTGCAACAGGATTGACTTTGCCAGCGCAGCTCTTGTCGAAGTGCCAGCG